GCTCAGGAAGTGACTTGAGGATACCCTACAATCAGGGTTGCTTTCGGGAGCCAAAGAGGCAGCGTGGAGAAATCGGGTGTCTGTTTAGGGGACCCCAAAAAGGTGGTGTTCGGCGTGGTGTCCCTCCAAGCCCCAGAAAAAAAGAAAGGTCCCTCAAAAATAGGTACCCCCATTTTGAGACGAAGCCATAGGGTCAAGTATTGCATTTCATCAAAGGGTGCGGAGAGCGGGTTCTATTCCAATCGACTCAAGTGGAGTTGCTCAACATGGTGTACCCGACGGGCAAGAGGAGCTTTCCGCCCTGAATGCCCTGAATGCGCCACCCCTGTCGCCCAGAAGGCGCCTTTATCTATTGAGAAGGGGAGGAAACGACATCTCCATGTTCAAATCTACAAGTCCTTCCTTTCCCTTTTCGGAGCGGACAAGTTGTTACATTCACGTTAAGCTTGAACACCAAAAGTCTCTTATCCAGCATGCCCCGTCGCTGAATGCAGCCAAGGGCAACAAACAGACGGAGATGAACCCAATTGGGTTCCCGACATGTCACATACCATGGGCCAGTTCCCAAACACCAGAAATCAAAGGTGATCACCTTTACGAAAAATGGGAGCCCCACACTAGGGGAGACTAAAAGCTCATTTCAGGTCGACTCGCTTTGGTTGCAAGTGAGTTTTGGGTCCGGGTCATGGGTCTCTCCATCAAGCACATGTTGTTGACACATGAACTACTTTTTGGAGCAGCAGGCTCCTTCTACCGAGTGGCCCAGTCGGCGCCAGCCGGGCTTACTCGCCTGGAACAACAAGAGCAGTCACAGTGCGCCAAAGCTACTTGGAGTTCTCCAAGTGGTTTTGCCCCCTGGAAAAAATGAGAACATACTTCCAGTAGTGATCGATTCCTTTTAAAACCAACAGGGGAAAAGAAAAAAATAGACTTAAACAAATGAACATTGGTTGCTGTTGACCCCTCCGCAAAAAGTTGAACAATTTTTGGGGGTTTACTGGAAAACCCAACTTGATTTCCCAAAAAGTTGAAGTCTAAAGATCCAACCCAATAGCAGTCAAGTTTTCGTTTGGGTTGGTTTTGTCCTTCCTAGGGGTCAATGTTTGTTGACGCTCAACATGACTTGCTGTGGCCCCCCCTCCCTTCTACTTTTCAAACTGACGGGCAGCTGAGCAACATCTGCACACTTGAAATCTTCGACGCGTGGCCTCCCAACCAGAGCTGCAAACATAACAAGCCTGAGGGGCAATTGAGGCCTGGTTGCACATTTGTAAACTGGTGTGTCATGATTGGCATGATAGAAAAAACACATCACTTCCTCCAAGATCTTGCAAAAAATGAAAGCCCCCAATATGTATGTATATCTATATATCTGTATACCTGCCTGAGGCCACGCATTTTGAAGCCGATGATTACCTTCTCTGGTGTTTTTTGTTTTTGTTCTCCGCAACTTGCATTGAGTTCGTGCTACTCCATCCCGCCTTCAGAAAAAAAAGAAGAAGAACAAGAAAAAAACTAAGCCCACGGCGGCCAACACGAATCAAACTGGCAACGGACCAAAGCTCCGACCACTTGCCAACTTGAAATGAAAGGATTCCCGTGGGACAAAGGTCCCAACGGTTCACTGGAAACAAAGGGATTCCCTTGGGGAAAAAACAACTCCTACCATGTGGGCTTTCTTGAATCCATAGCTCTTAGGGCCTTTGTCACAACAAATGACGACGTGTTTCTGCAGTGAATGCCCAACGACATATGCTGCAATCTTCAGGTGTTGTCTGTTGTTCTTAACACGGTTTCATATGGGTGCGTCCGGGTACTCCCTTTCTAGTTGAAACCCAAAACGAAACCACATGTTTTGCGGAAATATTCCATGTTGAGAGCCAACATGCCCAGAAATTCCCGACATATAAAGAGTTTGGGATGTATGGGTTGCGGCTGATATTCCATCAATATAAGCTTGGAAAGACCGTTATACCCTTTAAGTGGTAAAAAGACAACAGCATACTTCTGGAGCCCATATGGGTGTGTGTCAACCAACCAAAACCAGGACCGGTTTCCTCGCTTCTGAGACCTTCCCCATGAGAGACACCCCTCTCTAGTGAGCGCCTTCTTGCGAGCGCCCCAAAGTCCATGTCGAAGCCCAGCAAGGACTCCCCGTCGCCTCAAGCGGAAGGATCGAAATCCCGAGCGCCCAACTTGTTTGGAGATCCGATCATGTCTTGCGAATAGCCTGTAAGACGAATAGCCTGTAAGATGAATAGCCTGTAAGATGATTTCAACACTCCGGTTTTGAGAGTCATCTCTGGGGGCGAATTTTCAGGGTACCGGTGAAGGCAGAAAAACGGAGAACCCAATTCGAAACCTGCTTTGCCCACCCCAGGAAGTCTGCAACCCCATTTCACCCACCCAAATCAGGACGCTTAGAAGGGTATAGGAAGATCTTTCCACCAACAACCTAGTTCAACCGGGTCTTTGGAAGGTTTGGGCACAAAAACAACTGATTGAACCACCACATTCTCGCACACGCGTGGCGACACACTACCACTCGTTCACAGCTGTCCCCAGAAAGCCGTTTGCCTCTTACTTCTTCTGGGCTCCAGGGTCATGCGCCGATTCTAAAAAACAAGACTTTGATCTGCCCCCTCAAAGTCGTTGGCCATTAACTGATGTCCACCAAAGGCTCCACTTAAGAACTCATTCCCAAATGGGTCACCTCATGGGAGCCGTGGCAGAGACAATTTTTAAGCCACAAACACATCGCTGGCGAGGGCTCCGAAGGGCGAAGGTTTTCAAGCGCTTGGTTTGCTTTGGCTCCGGCGAGCGAAGTGCCAAAAAAAAACCAGCCTCGACTGCGAGCATGAGAGAAGAAAACACGGAAACCCGATGAAAACAAGAGACTCGTGTAGTTTTAAACTTGCAAACATTCGCCCTCAGACCCCAGCCCCACATAAATATTCGCCCTGATCCAACCCTTTTCGGCCGTAAACCACTCAAGCCAACACCCCACCCAAAACCAACCTGGACTGAACTTCAAGCCGGTTCAGCACCCCCTTGACTCGTTGGGAAGCTGAGCTCTGTCCCTGCGGACTGCTATCCGAGGTTGTCTGCACATAAAGTGATACGGGCAGCAAACTATCTTGAACTACAAGTCTGCGCTGTGGGTTCAACGGGAATCCCAACCAAACCAACTAAAACCTAAAAGTAACCGAATGGCTGTGAACCACCGAGAAGTCTAATTCCCAACTTGTGGCTATCAGGGGCAGGATTTCCCCAAATCAAAAGTTGACCACTTCACCGCGGGTTTCCATGGAAACGATCGGATTCCACTTTTGGAGGTTCCAAAACAGACATGGCTGTGGGTCAAAAATGGGTACCCAAAACCTGTGGTCCAATTCCTGGTAAATGGAAACAAGGACGAAAGTCGAAAGCCTGCGGTCCGATTGGTTCAATTTTGATCCATACCCAAATGGCCCAGGAATTTTAATAAGAGACCCGAAATGGTGGACATCAAGAGCTCGGTGAGGAGTCGTATCAAAAAACTCCTGGCCCCTCAATTCCTTTCGTGAGGTGCGCCTAAATTTCCTACATGGCTATGAATTTTAATGGGTAACCCCCACCCAAATGATGTCCACCAAAGGGTCCCGAATTAAAGATTCATCACATGAATCCCCCACCTTTTGGTCCATCACTTGGGAGGTCTGAAAAAAGTTGGCCATCCCCCCAAATGTGATTTTTGTCCCCCTTTGTTTTGCTTTAAGACCATTCCAAAAAGGACCCTGAACCCTCAAGAAGAAACACCCATCCAGAATGCGTGAAAAGGCCTAATCCTTTTGAGACTCTCAAAATCACTCACAGCCCAAGGCCCAAGGTCCGACGCGCGCCGAGCCGCTGGGTTCAAGCCAGGTTTCCACTGGCTCCTGCGGAGCGCATTTTTTTGGACCCCAGGCGTTGGTCTGGAAAACAGAGGTGATAATCAAAACCCGGTATCAAACATGGTCGTAATCCCAGAACCATGCTTCAAGAATTAAGAAGGCGGAGATCCGCAGCTATTTATGGTTGGGATTATCCCTTACTAACCTTCATCTACCTGGGTTTTGATTGTGGCTCAGGTGTCACTGGTAAAATCAGCGGTGCAAAGCTGAAACCTGCGGAATCTGAGCAGTTTTCAAACCAACTGAGCTCAATGGAACGTGTCCAAGAAAAGCTGGGAGGCCACAGCTGTCAGACCTTCACTGGTGCGTCAAGGATTTTACAATTTGCGGGATTACACAATGCAAACATGACTCGCAGAACCCCACAAGGGTGTCATCTTCGATTTGTTTTTCTTATTCCACCCGGGAGAAACACCAACTGAGTTGCGCCCGACTCGGAAGTTGCGACCCTACTTGCAACTTGACTTGCCCCTCCTGATGACAATGCATCCAGCAAATGCTACGGCCTGACCCCTTTTGCGGTTTGGCAATGGATGCCAATTTAGCGCCACACAATGAGGACCTGCACGCATCGTGACTTGCTTATTGCTCCTCTGTAACCCTCCACAACAAGTGGATACACATTGAGCGTCCAATTGCAAGGGACACTCACATAGCTTATCCGTCCCAAGTCCATTCCCTCAACAACCCAACCCACACCTAATAACCTCGGACGCTACCTTGCGTTTTTCTACACTGCAAAATGAAAACGCGAAACTTGAAAAGTGCGCCTCAGTCAAAGCTGACAAGGCACGGAATAACTGTCACCGAAACAGGCATGAACAAGAACCCTACACGGCGTGGAAACCCACTTTTCCAAAACCCACTAGCCTTAACACAGGCCTCAACCTAAGCCCAGTTGTTGCCCGATTTCCATATCCTCGCCATTGCCCCCAGCCCGCCCACCATGGACATTTTGAAGGCCATTTTGCCGCCTAGTCCAAAAAAATGATAAACCAAAAACAATGCCAGGTGTCCGGCATACGAAGACATGTCACGTCCAGGGCGCTTGAAAAAAGCTTGGCTTTGGAAAGGCAGGTCTCCTTGTGCCCCTGCGCGTTCCTACGTCTCAACGTCTCCCTTCACTGGCCCGCCGGAACACAAACCCAGATGCCTAGAGTCCTGGGAATTAATTTGCCAAGCCCCACCGGGCCCGCCCCAGTTCTTGCAATGGCCAGTAACGACAAATGAAGCCTGTAGGGCTCTTGTGCTAAATGTCAGCAACCTCAACGTCAGGTCCCTGAGAGTCAACATCAGCAGGCAGCGAACTCTCAGCAAATAGTCACATAATGCTGAATAAACAAACAACACGTTACACTGAGGGTGAAAACTGTGGAAACCCGTCAAAAATCTCATGACAATTCCCTAGCAGTTTTGAAAACCCGGCACAAGCAGCTGTGAGCCTTCAGTTTGGTTGTGCTGGGGCTGCCTTTTGAGACTGGACTTGGGACTCCGTTCGATGTAGTATGACTGGAGCTTCTGGAGCGTCCTTTTGAATCGGATTGAACTTCGATTTGATTCAATACTGTCCGGCTTGAGTTCGCAATTGGCTTTGTGTGTTTTGAGGGGGCAACGTGCCCAAAACCAACAAACCTTGAGAAAACAAACAACCGAAACAAAAGCACAAAAGGACACATTCTCACAGTGAACGGCTGCCTGTTGATACTCTTCAGGGGCCGGGAATGCTTAGAATAACAGAAAGGACTGCAACTTGCACATGTCCTCAATGGAGAAGACTGCAGTTTACACAGCCCCCACTCAAAAACAGGAGAAAAATCACTCCCACAGTGGGCTTGAAAGAGCCCAGCTAGTATTGCCGCCTTGCTGCGAAATCATTGGAGGCTACTCGTTCAGCGCAATTATGCAAGAATATGCTCAAAATTGGCATTCACATTTTGTTGTTGGCAAAAACTTGTCAAACGCTGCAACCCCCCCAGCCCCATGTCGCGCAGCCAAAATGCCTGCTCCAGCTGCCTCCAGTCCGCCTGAAGCAGGCCAGGATCCCTTCGAGAAAGGGATCTTGCGCCCCCCGCAAAAACCCCGCAAAGCCGATCCAACTCCGGTCAAATCCCTCTAGAAACCGGCCAAATCTTCTTTAAACCCGGTCATCCAGAAATAACAAAGCGGCCAAGAGACCGAAATCACCGACAGAAACCGGGCAACTTCCCAGCCCCAAGCCTCCAGAAACCGGTGAAATCCGCCTCTCAAAGCCGGTCCAAGTCCGTCGGTTCCTCCAGAAACCGGGCAAGATCTGTTTTGACCCGGTCAAATTCCCCTCCAGGAGCCTATCCAATCCCCCCAAAAAAAGGAAGAAGTTGTCTACCGATCAAACTCCCCTCCAGAAACCTGACAAATCCCCCTCAAAAGCAGGGCCAGCTCCGGCCAAATCCTTCCAGACACCAGCATAATTCCCCCCCAGAAACCAGTCAAATTCACCTTCGCTTGGCCCAAGCTCAGCGCCTTTCTGTAGCTCTCTTCTGGCCCTTGAAACACGCAGGCATGTACCTTGGAAACCAGCTCACGCAACAAGACTTCAAGGCAAAGTAAAGCCACGGTGCATACCTTGAAGCCAGTCAGGACGGACTGGCCGAGGCGTGCAACGCGAGACGTTTACAATCAATTTGCATTCGTCGTTCTACAGTTACAGACTGCGAACTTGGTTTTCGTTCTTCTTTGCTCACATGATTTCAAAGGGAAGCCAAAAGGGGAGGGATTAAACCAACTTGTCCAGACACCCTATTTAGCCCCTTGGATGTGTTTGTTTGCCGTTTCGGTCGGGTACTCATTTTTGGTTGGCTCGCGTCGTTTTCGGTCGCTCGGTCAGCGATGTCTGTCGCTCCGTCAAGGCCACGGAGGCATCCAGCCACAGCCCGCCGTGCTCCGCCAACAGCTCGAGGCGCAGCAAGTCCTGAACGCGGTTGCGAAATCTGCGAAGCCCTGCTAAAAGTGAATAACTTTTCGTGGCTCAAGACGGAAAACCCGTTAGTTGGATCAAAAAGCTAAAGTCCTGACAGCCAAGCAACATGCACCAAAGTTAAGGAGGGGGAGTGCTGACATCCCTCTCTGTCCACTGCAGGATGATCCTTGTGGCACGTGTGCCTTAATCACCGAAAGGGCTCTGCTGCTCTCTCCTCTTCTCTTGGCGCCGTGGATGTTTATCTCAGTCACCTAGACGGGGGTCTCCCCGGTTTTTGTGGGGATGTATCACTCTTGGAGGGGTGTTCACCCCCATATGAATCCGGGGTCAACATTAGTTCAGTGCGGGTGAACTTTCCTCAAAATCTGAAGCGTCCTCCCCCATATGAATCCGGGGTCAACATTAGTTCAGTGCGGGTGAACTTTCCTCAAAATCTGAAGCGTCCTGCGCCGTCGCGGGCTTGCCTTCTTCGGTTTTTTCTTGCTAGCGGTGTACCGCAAAATGGCCAAACTTTCAGGCGAGAAAGGTAAACGTTCTTGGCCCTAGACTAAGACCATGAAGCAACCAGGCAACCAAAAACAAGTTGAAGCTTTGGTAATTCAACAGATCAAAATAGTGGGTGGGAAGCTGTCAATTTTTGCCCCGCCTTGCCGTCTTGAAAGTGGTGGGCAGTGGTGAGGGATGAGAAGCGGCGAAGATGGGAAGGGATCAGAAGGAATGGGAAGGGATGGGAAGGGATGGGAAGGGATGGGAAGGGGATGGGAAGGGATGGGAAGGGATGGGAAGGGATGGGAAGGGGATGGGAAGGGATGGGAAGGGATGGGAAGGGATGGGAAGGGATGGGAAGGGATGGAAAGGGATGGGGGGATGGGAAGGAAGGGATGTGGAAGGGATGTGGAAGGGATGTGGAAGGGATGGGAAGGGATGGGAAGGGATGGGAAGGGATGGGAAGGAAGGGATGGGAAGGGATGGGAAGGGATGGAAAGGGGATGGAAAGTGGAAGTGGCGAGGAGGGAACCCCTGTCAGGCGCCATGTTGGTGCAGGGAGATTCATCCAAAGCGGCACACGAATATTAGGCTATTCAATCCGACACTCCAAAACGGTTCGAAGGGGGCTTATCAAAACCGATACGCCGGGAAAAAAAGGAAGAAGAAAGAACACGTTTCTCCCATGATGAATCTGAATTGGGGAGACGTTGGTGCACATTTTGGGGATTTATGCTGAATGGGGGGTTTTCTGCATTTCTTATGAAAAAACACAAACAAACGAAAATGTGCCTGGCAGCGAAAACATGGGGGGGGGGGGGGGGGTCAGGTTCCCCCTCCCCGCCCCCCCACCCGCACCATGTTCCTCATGGACAGAATTCTTGTGAATCCGGTTTTGATCCAGCTCAAGGCGCCTGTATGCACACGTGTCGTGCGAATGTAAAAAATCACTCCGCTTCTGCTTCGGAGTTGTTGTCAGCCAATGCAGTCTTTGCATGGCTCAAATGTTGTGACTACGCGACTACGTACATGACCACAATCTTTCTTGTGGTAGCAATTCCCGCTCCTCGTAACCACGAGGCTCTCAGGTCGGGTAGTTGTGCTCAGTGTCCTTGATGTAGGGTTGCCCCGCATGGTGAAGGTCTCCAAGTGTTCCCGGCGCTGGGTCTGAGTTCCAGCGTCCGTCCGCTTCTGATTCACCGCTTTCAGCAAGGTGCTCAACAAATGCTCCACCATGAGGGTTCCAATGATGATGACAATCGCGATGTACCAAAGAAGGTAGCTCGTGTCTTCCAGGTTCTCCTGTCTCTCATCTGTGGCCGTACTGGCTGCCAGGGTGGCCATGCCGTACAGCAGCATGCCTCTCGGCTGGTGTAGCCAAGGTGCTCCCACCAAGTAGCACCAGTAGGCGTCAGCCTTATTCGTCTCTTTCTTCCTCTTCTCCGTCAACTTCTTGTCCCCCTTGATGAGGTCCTCCTCGTCGAAGTCCTCGAGTTCCGGCAACTTCTTCAACTCCACATTGTGGCCCGCATTGAAGTAGCGCACTCTTCCCGAAGTCAACAGCTCCATCAAACAACTTGACGTCATAGTCTTCGTCAATGCATCTGATGTCATGCAGTCCGTGGGGATTAAACCAATCCACCTCAATCGTCCAGCTGCACGTGCTTCACGATGCACCATGATGTAGATCCTCTGACTCTTGTCTTGAGGTAGGGCTCGATGCCCGGTGCACAGCTCAAAGAAATCCCGGCAGTCCGTGCACGCGTCCACCGGGAAGTTCTTGCTTCCTTTCTCCTGAACTGCTAACAGTTGCAGCAGTGTCGGCTTGACACTCCCGTAGGTCACTTCTACCAACCTGGTACTCACCATCGTCGATGACTCCAGTCCTGATATTGCTGCCAAGGTTTCGCCATGGGAGGTGCTGTAGCTAATCCGCTTTGCCTTTGTGCTCTGCGCGTGAAGCAGGTGTGCCGTGCCGCACATGTACTTCGTCACCTGGTAATCGGTGCACTCAATGGACTCCTCGTTCTCCGGCATGTTGTCTGCCATCAAGAGCACCATGATGCCTTCCTGCGCATAGTTCTTCGTGCTTGTAGCCGATGAAGCATCATGCACGCAAACCAATCGCAGATATGGCGATTGAATCTTCCTGAAATACAGGGACACCTCGCTGGTGGCTTTCGTTCTCTGTATCAGCGTGTTCGCTCGCCGAAGGTCCTTGATCTTGCTCTTGTTGACTACTGACTGTAGTTCGGACAGCTCAGCCAAGATGTCTGGTCTCGTCACTCCACACCCCGTAGCAAGTGGATGCCGTAGGCGTCCAGCTCCGTGTCGTCCTCCTTGTCCTTCGGAACGTCCACATTCTTTAGCGTCTTCACGTACTCGGCCTGGTCCACTCGGAAGCCATCCGCGATCTTGCTGTACTTACAGCCACAGTGCTGGAAGGGCAAGGTCTCTCTGGTCAGCTTCCCAAACTTGATTTCCATGCTCTTGAACTTCTCGTTCAGCCACTTCTCCTTGCTGCTCGTGGCAAGGTCGTCGACATGCGTTGTCAGAGCTGCCTCAGGCCATGCAATGCCGTACTGGGGCTTGGTCTTGCAGGGCCAAAACCAAAAATTCTCATCAAATGAGGATCTCTGGCCGCCAAGCTCTGTCAGGTACTGGTGCAGGTAGAGCTGCCATGCCAATGGGGCCTCCGAAAGCCCATACACTGGCTTCAGGCAAACCAGTGCCCACTCGTCCAGTTCCTCCACCGGGGTAGAAACTGGGTTCCAGCTCAGCCAGAAGTCGCCACACGTTCATCGGTGGGGTGACTACCACTTTCCTCTCCACCGTTCGGACGCCAAGCTTCCGCAGCATCTGGTAGAGCTTCTCGTAGGTGCCTTTCAAGAAAGCGCCGGCGACGTCCCATGATTCCAACTTGTGGTCTTGGCTTGCTGCTATCGAGAGCAGCAGCTTCTGCGAGAGCCGGGTCGCCGTGGTAGATCTGGTGGCCATTGCTTTCTTGTATGGGTCGAAGCATCCTCTGGCGCATAGTCTGCTCTTGACAATCTTGCCACTGGGTTGCGGTTTCCACTTCCGAACCCAAATAGCATCGATGAAGACCGTGTTCTCTTCAAGGTGCTGCTTCTTCACCTTCTTGAACGCTCCTTCAGCAATGAATTGTCGACGTTCTTTCCGGTCCGCCTCTTCCACCTGCTTCCAGATGGCGTACGCGTCCTCCTCCGTGATGCTGGCATTGTCGCTCTCTGCCTTGAAGATTCCTCCTCGAAGTATGTCTGCTCGGAGAAGGAGTTCATCCTTGGATCCAAAGTAGAAGAGATTATGGCGCTTCTCTCCATTCTCGTTGTAGTACATCTGGAGGGTTTCTGGTTCTGTGATCTGTGGTGTTGAAGTTGATTCTGCTGGTGGTGAATGAGGTTCCCATAGTGGTGGTGCAAGAGGCTCTCTCTCTGGTTGTGACTCAAGTGGCTCTTCGGGTGGAAGTGGTGTCATCCATTGTCGTTGATGCATCTGCAAGAGAATTTCCATGCTGTTCTCTCCGTCGTAGTGGTAGTATTCATGCCGCATTCGTTTCGGCGCTGTCCTGAGCTCAACTCGTCGAGAGTCAGGTAGGGCTCGTTTGACAGCATCTCCGCCGGTGTCTTGCACGTCCATGTCGTCTTGCACATCCATGTCCTTGATCTGTGAAGGCGGCGTTGTGGAAGTAGCCGTAGGTTCTTCCTGCCACAGGCTCACGTAGTGGTAGAAGTAGATGAAGCACATGGTATCTCGATGATTGGCCGTCATCTTCTTTGTGGCAAGAGGAGTGTCGCTCAGGTGCTGCAAGATGATGAGCTTCATGGTATTCTTTTGCCACATCGCCAGGGTTCCCGTGGTTCCACGTGGTGTCGCCACTTTACGGACCCCGACTGCAAGTCGAACTCCGTGGCACTCATCCTTGATGATGTACTTCGCAGCCTTCTGAATGAGGTCGTAGAGACCGATCCTCTCTTTCTCATCCATGTTCTTTGGAACCTGGATCCAATCTTTCTTTGAAGTGAGGATGTAGCCGTAGGCGTTCAGCTGGTAAGGCGGTTGCTTCTCTGCCATTGCCATCAGTTGGTGTAGCGATTGCCATCCTTCGGTCTCGTTCTTGTTCTGCTCCTCGATGCTAGTGAGGAAAACTCCTCTGAAGCGGCGTACTACTCGAAGTGGTACGAGATAGGGCTTGCCTTGATAGTCCAGGATTGCAGTGCCCTGGTTTTCGGAGATTTTCAGCAGCGTTGCTGGTCCTCTCCATCCATAGTCATCTGCTCCTTCTCGATGGAACTCCACTTCAGTTATTCCGGGCTTGAAGTTCGTGAGGTCAAACTGTTGAGGTCTCGTCTTTGCCGCCCGTGCAATTCTCGACTCCATGATTGACTGAGTAGCAGCGGTCATCGCAAGTTGCCGTAGACGAAGTGCTCGTTCGAACACTGACAGGTTGTCCTGCGCTGCTCCCGCAACTGCAATGATGCCGGCCGAGTCGATGTCAAAGAACGGGTACGGAAGCGTACCGGTGACAGCCATGTGGGGCGTGTAGCCGCCCACGTTGATCGTCAGGTTCTGGGCCATCGCCGCTTCCGCCACGAGATCATCGAGGCTCACCTCCATGCCTTGTCGTTCACATTCCGATCTCATCTTCAGCATGGTGAGCTTGGTCAGGTCCACATGCTTTTCCACCAGGCCAGTCGCAGTCTTCTGCGAACCAAGATGCCCTCGGGTTGTTCCTGCCGACCGTCTGATGACGCTGAACCTTTCGAACTCCACCGCTGCTTCTGCGGACATCAATGCTGACTCCTGGTCACTAACGATCGTACGTGGTGGTCCAAACCATCGCATCCAGTAGTGCAGCAGTGCATGTTGCAGGGATTTCAGGTCCTTCCCTGGGATCTTCACCACGGACTTGTACCGCGTGGCCACGTCCACCATGATGAAGAATGGTTCCTCCCACAGGAAGAAAATGTCTGCCTGCAGCTCCTGGTTGAACACATCAACGTGACGTCCACGAACTCGTGGTCTTGATGAGACCTTGCTGTACTTCTTGCACACCTGGCAGTGAGCGATCACCTCGGGAATGAGGTCCAAGACATCCTTGGGCATGCCAGATCGTGTCAGCAAATTGTGCATATCACTGATGTTCGCGTGCCAGAAGCGTTGATGTAGGCCCAGGATCAACCTTCTCGCCTGGTCTTTGTCTGCTGTAACAAGTCGCGGAAGTCGCTGGAGAACTCGCCTGAAATCATAGAGTGGCCGCATCGGTGCCTGTAGAGGCCGCCCAGTGATCTTGTCGTGGTCCTCCTGTTGTTCCTCGCCTCCTTCTTCTTCTCTAGCAGGCACTGCGTCCGCTAGCCGCTGGACAGGATCTGCAGCCTCTTGTGGCTCGGCTGCCTCGAGTATGTCGAACTCGGTAGTGCCAGTCCAGCTTTGACCATCCAGTGCCAGCCGATGTGCATCTCGTTGCGTCCAGTTGTCCTTCACCGTGAGACGTGGTCCTGGTAGTTCATGAGGTGTGGCATGCGTAGTTCTTGTCTCAGATAGTTTGTCGACAGACAGTGGACAGGATGCGTTCATCGGCGTGAAGAGGGCCTTCCTGGGCTCAAGGTGAAGCCGGATGACCTTGCCCCGGTTGTGGTCTACTTCCCAGTAGTCCTTGCCGTCACCTTCGTGGCCGTAGATGACGATTATCCAGTCCTCATAGAGCTTGCGTTGGCGTAGCTGCTCGTTGGTCATGGTTCTGATGTCTTCCAGGGCAGAGATCACCCACCGTTTCACATCTCCCTTGATGACAATGCGAAGGGGAGCTGCTGAGGTTCTCAAATAGGGCATCGGTGTCGGTATCATCTCTGCATGGAGGGTGCAGCAGACTCCTTTGACATTGAGGGACTTCCGGAACAGTTGTCTGAGGATGGACAGGTAGATCGGGTCCTCATTCCAGTGGGTGTACTTGCCGGTCTTGGCGGAGATGATGCTGATTGAATCATTGACCAGCTTGCTCAGGAGGTACTTCAGAGTAATCATCTCAACCGCAGTAAACTGGTACTCCTCTGCTGCGTTGACGTTGACTTCATCCACCGCGCGTGATCGAAGGGCTTGGTCCTTGAACTCCCGGATCATGTCTTCCAGTGGAGTGACCACTGCTCTTCTGACTGGTTCCTGAGCTGTCGAAGATGTGGGGGTCGGCAGTGAGGAGGCTACCCTGCGTTCTCTCGGAACAAGGGTGTGTTCCATGCCTGGCGGTGCTGCCCGTCCAAGCCTACATCTTTCGCACTTGTAGTAGATGTTCGTGGGTTGGTGGTTCGTGAGGTAGGTCGTCTGAGGCGCTCCTGATTTGTTGCCCCTGAGATACTTCATGATGTCAGTCACAATGGCCTTGCAGAAGCGTCCAGGGTACACAGCGGCTTGTGTGGTTCGTAGTTTGCCGTTGGAGCTGCCTTGTAGTTGATGGCTCTCCGCAGTGGGATGTTCCCTTGTAGTCCGGTTGCTTTCTGGATTGGTTGAAGAGTCTCGTTGGTGCAACCAAACATGCACTGGTCGGTGCGTAGACGATGACGGCAGTTGGGTATGTCCTGGATACACGCCAGCGGGCTATTCCACCACATTGCCGATCCCCAGGGTTGCTCCCAGAAGAAGCCGCGTCCTCGTTCATATTGTCGCCAGCAAATCTTCACGAGGAACTCCAGAACTGGTCGTTCTGCTTCTCGAAGCCGTCGAGTCTCTTCCTTGCTTCTTCTGTTCGCCGAGACAGTCCATGGTCTGCAGCTCGGTGTCACCGCAATGACATCAGGGTCCAGGATGTCCTGCACCTCCAGGATCATGTTCTGGTGCTCCTTGTTGGCCAGATCCCATCCGTACCGGTAGTCGATGGGATTCGCCACTACCAAGCCGGAGACCAAGGCGATCCAGCTTAGTCTCCCGCTTCCACTGCACAATTCCCATAGGTTGGCTTTCCGTTGTCTCTGCTTCTTCCATCGCTGGAAGTTCTGGGGTCGTAGGACAGGTCGGCTGGACTTGCTGTAGAATTCCTCTGGTACTGCTTTGTAGTGGGCATTCAGCCTGGAGATCTTGTTGTCTTCTCCCGGGGTTCTGCTTCTCCAGGTACCGTCAAGGTAGATTGCCGCTCATCACGAAGATCCTCGGCGCGGACTCCTGGACGAAGCTCCACATCTGTCGGCCTAAAGAGTTGTGACCGTGGAACCACGTGAACTCGGTCAACCTGGATGCCGTGGTCCTGGAAGTTCACTTCCCAGTAGTCTTGAGGTTCGTCTCCTTCTTGATCGTCCACGATCTCGATGGAGTCTGGTGGATCTCCTTGACGATCATCTGGCGCTTGTTCCATGTTGATTGTGTGGACCGGTTCGTTCTTGTCGTAGTGGATCTTCTTTTCTTCGCTCCGCTTCAGCTCCGGGTTGTTCAGGCAGGAGTGGACGTAGTAGTTGCGCCTCTGGTCTGGCCGTTGATAGGCACACTGCTTCGCCACGTCCATCAAGAAACGTCCCGCCTGTTTGTTCTCCTGATTGGTGTCGGGCTCTTCATCCAGAGGCAGAAGATAGTGGCCTGTATCGGTTAAGAGAAGTCGTAGTGTATGGTGTTCACCCGGCGCCTCGGTCTTAGGGATGATCAACAGGCCATCCCGGTTGTCAAACCATGCGGTGGCTATGGTGGCCTTCATCTTGACGAGGCTCGGGTTGCCGATCAGAGCCGGGCACAGGGATCCGGATCCACCAATCACATCTGCCGTATAGCAGGCGTCTTCCAGACCACCCAACATAGGCAGAGGCACCGTCACTTCTCCCAAGGTGGTATCCGAAGATCCTGATATGCCCGTCACGGACGAGTTCTTCTCCAGCGCGTACCTGATCTGAATTCCGACAGTGATCAAGTAGATCGCGAAGGGTCTCGCTGCCGATGAGGCCATTGGCCGCTCCAGGATCGATGGTGAGACCTCTTCTCCGCAGTCCTCTGACAGAGTGAAAGATCTCGGTCAGCTCCTGGGCATCGGTCTGAACGTTGGTGTTGCTGTCGCCCTTGCTGACATGTTGATCATGTCGGTGACTAAGACGTAGAGCCAACGTGCGTAGCTCATCAAACCGTCCAAGATCACCTTGCACCTGAAGACGAAGGTCGTCCATATAGCGCTGTGACAGCGTGCTCTGCTTCAGCCAGAGGTATGAGCACGCCACTCGGTTGAGCTCCAGACCTGCTCGGTTCCGTGCATCTTCCAGGCGAAGGTTCCACTCCGTGTTGAACTCAGCAAGGGTCTGGTTGGACTGCTTGCGGTACTCAAAGAAAGCGTCAAGTGCTCTCGTGGTCTGCTCCTCATCCGTATGTCCGAAGCAGTCCCTCAAATTGTCACACAACACTTGGACACCCGATGGTATGCCATGCTGCAAGATGATGGTCGGGTCCATGGGGTCCCGCACTTCATCAGTGCTCAACCTGACAAGTGCGTCGTCTCCCTGATCATAGGTGCCGTCCGGGCGAATCAACTTCAACTCCAGTGCCAGCCGCTGAGCTTGCCCTTGAAGCCTTCCAGCAACGAGAGGACCTACGCATTCGTCTGGTCCTTCATATGTTCTGTACCAAAGTCTAAGCTTCTGGAAGAACAACTTCAAGGGACATTCAGCGTGGCCGGGACCCCAGCCCGGCGGGCAATCCTTGCGAAACTCACCGAGGGGAATCCCTGCGCTGGCTTGCGGCTGGGCCATGCGGTCGAATTCCTCAGTCCAGGTGGGCGGTAAAAACCTCTGACCAGCGGTCAGGATGAACAGGAAGGTGATCAGGATCAACCTCGTGTCCATTAGCAACGCCCCGAGGGCGAGCAAGCGGTGTGACCCGCAGGGGCCGTGCGTCCTAGCAGGAGCCAGTGCTCCGCTACCAGATTCTTGTGAATCCGGTTTTGATCCAGCTCAAGGCGCCTGTATGCACACGTGTCGTGCGAATGTAAAAAAATCACTACAGAAGACTGGAAAACGTTGAAACATTGACCAAACCTCGAAGGATGCCGGACCTATTCATTCTATGCAGGGCGTGTCTTTTTGTTCTGGAACCTGTGATTAATTGCTTTGCCCAATGTTGCGCCTTTTGGGTGTGTCCGTCTTTCAAATTTCCGGCGGGTTTCCCTTTGAAACCATCCCAAGAAGTGTACCCTCAAAAAAAAAAGGAGCCGCCCAGTTGGCTGTGGCTTAAAATTAAACAGGAGGGGCAAAACGCAGGTTTTGGTCCATGTGTCCACTTAACGATCGGGGTCCATTTTGGTACCGGTTTTTTGAGCCCCGGCCATTTGGGGACATCCACCCGCATCGGTGCCCATCGCTCTGCACTCGCCGAGGCTCGGAGAAGCCTGCAACTGCGATCCCCCGGTCTCGGACATTCAGGTAGGGGCGTTGGTTTCTTCCATTTGCCTTCCTGGAATTATGGGGGCTGGGGAGGGAGGGGAGGGGGAGGAAGCCCACATCAGCCCTTATCAAGCCCTAAGGCCTTGTTCGCCCCCCCCCCCCCCAAAAAAAAAATGGCAAAAAGGGGGGGCCCGGGGTGTGGCCTGTTGATGGTCCCCTGTTCTGGTTATGATGTTAATCTAAAATCTGTGTTCCCCCGTATTCGTTTTTAAAAGGGGTGTTTTGGGGAGCTTATTTATCGTTTTCGTTAAGGTAATCATTTGGGTAAATTCTCGCCTTGTTCATTGTTGGGCTGGGGGCCGACATGTTTTTCATTTGAAAGAGTTAGCCCTTTTAGTAGTTATCAAGTTCTAGGGTGTTGGTTGTGTATTTGTTTTGACATGGTTTTTGTCCGCCCTTCGGTCGTGCCACGACTATGTGACCATCGTCTTCATCTTTGTTTTGGTCGGGGCACTCAGAGCGATGACTGTCTGAGAAGGAATTGCATTTGACAGATTGAAGACACCTGTGGAAGCAAGTTGTCGGTTTCATTGTCTTACCAATTTCATTTAGCATTTTGTGTCGAGACTCTGTTTGGTTTGCACTCTCTCGCTGTCTCGCCAACCATGGCACCAAAGCAGATTACCATCGGTGCTGGATATGACCAGAATGAGCTCAATCCGGAGATGCAGCAGTTGATTGTCCAAGTTGAGGGCTTGACCTTGGACGAGGTGAATGAGATGGACACAGAGTTTCAGGCAGAGCTCCGTGCTATGCAGATGCGGGTGTCCGTCTTGAATGACCGCCGTGCTCAGATTGTTCAGCAGGAGACACAGGCACGTGCCAAAGCAAAGGCATCTGCAAAGGCACAGACCATTGCAGAAGCATTGGCGGTCAAGAAGACTGGAACCGTCACTGTGCTCGTCTGCTCTCTTCCTTCCATGAATGTCTATTCCATCACCGTTGAGAAAGCCAAGACGGTGGGGAAGTTGAAGAGCAAGTTCGTCCGCAGGAGCGGACTTCATCCCACCTATGGCAAGAAGGGCGGCCTTAAGAAGGACAACCTGCTCCTTGTGGATAACGCCAACACGGCACTTGTCCCAAGGTCATTCATCTACAATGTCCCGTCGCTGAACGGTGGAAGGGTTGTGGCAATTGAGCGGGACAACTATGAAGTTGTCCCTACGACCTTCCGCTTCCCCGACTTCGACCGTCGTGCGGACGCCCCCATCGATGAGGAGGACGATGGAGTGGATGATGAGGAGAGCGACGATGAAGATTGAAGTGTCTCATCCTTGTGCCAGATGGACTGATTGAGTGTTAGACCGCTTTGGTTCGAAAGCCCGTGGCGATTAGAATGTTAGGTTTCGCTCATCGTACAAACCATGGAAAGAAGAGAGATACATGCGATGAGACGATTGAACCTTCAGATTGATGGTCAGATTTACATGCATTGCCTTGAACTGCCTTGAACTGTGTGATTGTAGCATGTGTCATCAGTCAAAGCATGATGCAAACAGCGTTGACTTTGCTTCGTTGCTTCACGCAGATTTCAGTCTCATTTGCTGTTTACCACCTGTCCCTGTTCTCTCATGTTGTCCAAACCGAGCACCACTACGAAGACCAAGCGTCCCCACTGGACACAACTCATGAAGGCAGAGAACCAAGCAATGCGGAACTTCTTGACGGAGAAGGGCTTTGCAGTGAAGCAGGTTGACAACACGGTTGCCTTTGTCATTGTTCCCTCCAGTGAACAGAACCAAGCAGATGACCCAAATGAGCCCTCCGAACCTTCTGAACATGGTAGTGGAGATGAAGGGGAGAAGGACGTTGACCGCATCATGGTTGAGGTGGAATACCTGAATGTGTTCCACGTTTTCACCATCTACAACGCGGAGATGAAAGTGCTAGACATGAAGTTTGTGCTTCATGGATGGCTTGGTGTTCCATGGTTTCAGATGGAGTTGCATCACTGGACAGACATCCTTGACGATGACGACAGGTTCCTCAACTACATGCCAGAGGAGGACAATAAGGGCGTGTTCACTCAGGTGCAGTTGATTGTGAATGAGGACGGTGGTATGACGGACAGCATGGAGGTGGTGCTGGTGGAGCAGTTCGGGGAAAGACGTCGCCACACCTTGGAGATGGCCAAGCTGTTGCCCTTTCAGACCATCATGTCCTTTCTTGGTTACTTCATGTCAGGTCAGTTGGACAGCGACCCCAGCGACCTGACGCTCTTCTGCCACAGCGAGGACACGTTGGAGGACTACTCCGACAAGATGGTGGTGAACGTTCACATCAGGGGACAGGGCGGCGTCTTCAACCCAGTGAAGAAGACCTACTTGAAGCGAGAACCAGCCATTGCAAAGTTGAAGGAGGACACACAGAAGCAGTTTGACATTGACCCAGAGGCGGACACACCTGACGCAGACTTGCCAGTTGAGTTCGTCCAGTTTCTGGATAAGGAGCGGGAGAAGTTGAACAACATGATGGCACTGAAGATGCGGATGGGCTCGTCTTTCTTCAAGGCTGGCATCAAACACGTTGGTTTGGACATCCTGTTCGCTATCCAGAGCATCTTTACCTCAAACAGGCTGAAGAAAGGCGAGAAGCACATGACCACCGTTGAAAAGATGGAGAAATCCTTGAGGTTGCTATATCCTCAACTCAACACCATCGAGAGGTGCAATGCGAAATTGGCGACCTTACAGGCACAGTTGGTGAAAGACCTTGCTGGCATGTTTTGCGAGGAGAACTACAACTACAGTGAGCAGAACGGCAAGGCAAACATTGACCCGTCCAACTTCATCAACCATGTGAAGTCAGAGGTGGAGCGTCGCAGTGAGGGGCAGTCTGTGGTGGATGATGCCACTGTGGGAGCGAACTGTTTGCTTCAGTGATGAAACATGTACAAATGTCCATTTCAGAAACCATCCAAACAAATGCCATGAAGGATAAAAAGGGCGTTCCCAAGTTTCAGGGAACAAGGGTCAGGTGTTCCCCAAACTTGTGGAGTTTGTTCCCCAAGACAAGGGAACAGGGGAACACCGTGCCCCAAAGCAAGGGAACACCATGCCCCAAAGTAAGGGAACAGGAAACTGACCCTCCTTAATCCACCTTTTCCCACCTCTTTTGCAATAGTCCCCGCATCCACTCACGCTGCTGAGGTTGAGAAGTCAAGGACGCCGTTGTCTTCAAGACTGACCCCTTCCAGGTTTGACAGTCACAGGGTTTTTAGAGAGTGGGGCTTCTTTATTCATCCCTAAACCCAAAGAAACATATATATCACTAATCAAATCAGTAGGAATTTTGTACAACTCATCTTGTTTATGTCTAACAAACCCATCACCCCAATCTGATTTTTTACCCCATGGCAACCGTTGAGCAGTTTCAAGATGTCGCCCATTCCTAATTTGCCCACAATCCCTATTACATAATGGTCTGGGTTTCCATGTTTCAATGTTAGTCCAAAGCCGTGTCCTTTTCCTATAGTTCATTCCATATTTGCAATAATCCACATCACAGTATTTCAATCCACTCATGAAGGGTTGTTCCTTTAATAATCCTGTTTGAGGATTTTCCAAAACCCACCATGTAGGTTTGAAGTAGTCAATGATTTCAAGAGTTTTCAAAACAATGCTATTAGCGAACTCAATCTTTCGGACGCCCGTCGTCTTCGCTCAGCTGTATTCGGTGCATGGAGGAGATGCCCAAATCACATCAAAATCACTAACCCCGAACTGTTTATAATCCCAACTCAAAGTATCAGTATTGATATTTGCATTTTCAAATCAAGGGAAATAACACTAAAACCCAAATCCCGAGCAACACGACCAACCGAGCCTGTCCCTGAAAATAATTCTAATAATCGCATAGTATTAGAACTATTTAGATAATTACTTTATGGAATAATGCCCATAAGGCAGTGAATTGAAAGCATCAATATAAAACCTTTTATTTTCATAATTACTCAGACTTTGCTTGACTTGAGACATTGAATATATTTGATGCGACTTACTTCTGATGAAGTTATATGTGATTTCATGCTTTTTGTTTTGAAATAATGCTTCGTGATAGTTCTGATATGACAGTTCTTTTTTCACTTTGTGTTTCACTACACCTTTTGATTTCTTATGTTCATCACCCTCACCGTGAATTGTGAAGGCATATGATTTAGGTTTTAATCCAAGGAATTTAGTAATGATTTGTCCATTCACTTCGTCCTTAAACATTCCTAAGACCTTTTTATTAGTTTTGTCAAAGCATGGATGTTCAGGTGGATAGTCAAATCCATGTGTTGCTTTATATCATTGAAATCCTTGTAGACATCATCAGTCATTGTTCGAATTACATAACTGTCAGTATCAGTATAAACCAGTCTTATGTGTTCATTGTATTTTTTCTTAAGGACATCATAATAAAACTGATACATATGTAATTTGCTTAAATCTAAAATGCTCATTCCCAGGAAAATCGGTTTATCCAATTTCAGTTTCGCTTTAGTTTTTTCAACTCCTACCAGATTTTCATTTATAATAAATCTGTTTTTGAATGTTGGGTTATTCACACATTTTTCATATCTAACTTCATTATCCACCAGTTCAAAGTCCATATGGTCTCTTTGGCCCTCCATGGTTTTTCCATGCACCGCGTTGTTCATTAATTTAAATACATCTTTCTCAAAATCGCTTTTGGCTTCTTTCCTTTTACCAGTGTTGAAGTCAATCCACGGTTTCAACCATGCCCTCTGTTGAAATTTTATTATCCTATGGACTTTGGTCATTTTCAATCCCATTTTCAAATAATATTGTAAAGTCTTGATATGAACCACATATTTTTCTTTATCCTTTAGATTTAATATTAACTTACTTGTTTTCTCGTCCTTCGGGGTTTTTCCATCATAATATATTTTGAAGACTTGCTTTTGATAATCGGAAAGCATATTCACATTTACATTCATTATTTCAGGTGCTAGTGGATAGTCGGAGTGGAAGTCGTGCAATGTTTCGGGATATTCCAAATAAACTTCCATAATATAACCAAACTCATCGTTTTCATTCCAATTTTCAACACTGGGAGTTTTCTTTGCCCACTTGATATTTTTTTAGCGGTAACTTCTGGGACATTGCTAAACCATACAAGTTGTGAGCATCCAAGTAACTAATATAATTTGATGGCTTGTTCTCATCATATGCTTCCTCCATATACTTATTAGTTGCCACTGCTAATTTATGACTTACCTGACACATACCACCTCTCATTCCCTTTTCAACCATCTCAAACATTTCTTGGTCATGCAATTGTTCTATTTCAACACCAGTTTTTAGAAGCATCGCGCCCCATGCAAAATTAGGTAATGTATAATAGTGAGCAGGGTCTAAACCGTAGTATTCCATACACAAGTCTCTAAAGTTTTCAAATACATCGGTCAGTAGTAAAACATCAGTTATTAAATACAGGTCGTAATACTGCCCGAGTGTTCTAATCCCGAAGTGCTTCCATACTTTCAATGCCCTTTCATAATCTTTATCACTTACATGTTCTTCACTCAATTTACTGTAAAACGCTTCTTTCGGTGGTAAAGCCCTTTCCTTAAATCTTTCAAAATCAACAAAGTAGTCATAAGGATAAATACCCTTATCAGTCAATAAATCCCAATCTTCATCGGTTTTAACATACGGGCTTCTAACGCTGTATCTGAAATTGTTCTTCGAATTCTCACGCTTCTTATCATCCTCATATTTACTCAACTTCACCAACTTATCCAACGAAGACGATAAGAAACTGAAACTGTCCTTGAAACAATGATTTTTAAAACCAAAGGTTATAAACTTTTCGCTGTTCTGAGCGATACATTCTATTTTAGAATTCTTGTTCAGTTCGTGAGCCTTGTTGATGATTAAGTGAGCATCGTAGTTTTTAAGGTTATGAAGAAACACGGGGATTTTATAATATCTCATACTAAATCGAAGATTGCAGTCCTCGTGGACGCAACCTCTATACTGCCCCGTAAAGTGGCAATGGTCCCAACACTTCTTTTCACCTTCCTCAAACTTGTTTCCGCAAATGAAGCAGTTGGTGGCAGTATTGAAGTCCTCCCAGTCCTTCTCGGTTTCAATACGGTCTTTGTCCTCCTTCATTTTCTCCAAAACTTCCTCTCTGACTTTATTGATTTTCTCAACAAATTTATCCATACAATCTTCACCTCTGTATAAGTAAGGCTCACTACTTCCGGTTATAGCATTGACTACATTAATCATAAAACCACACGGACGATGAT